ACACAGGAACACACTTCCTATACACTGGGTGTGAGTGGAGCCCTCTAGTGGTCCACCACAACGTTTTCAATTAGTGCATTTTTATCTGGGAGTAAAACAGGCTAAAAATAAAACATAAATGCACAAAAAGTAAAAACATTAAAAAGTGTTTTCTAGAAAATACATTAATTAAAAAAGCACATTTTAATCTTCCATACAAGCCATCTCTCTCTCTCTGCTTCTAATGTATTCACTCATTAAAGAACAAACAGGTTGGGTGCTAATTCTCTCAGCATCTGAGATTCGGTAATGATGAGTGTAAACAGATGAAAACTGCTACAGTTTAAGGGGTCACATCAACAATATGCTAACAGTACAAGTCTCACCGCCACTGGAACAAACAGTGGTAGGTATTTTTGTCCTGCCACTGTTTGGACCATAACAAACTTATCTCAGTGTATCACCTTTGAATAGGGCCAACTTCTCTTATTCTCTGCTTAGCTCTCCTCCTTCCCCGTCTTGCGGTTCTGCATTAAACACTCGCATAAATATGCGATCGGATGAGGTGCTGCAGTTGGGAGAATCCTTGCATGCTAATAACACTGAAACAATAACACTGTGACACCTGTCTGCTCCTGACAGCTTGCATTCAATCGGATGAAACTGCAGTTGCACGGAGACAAGTGTGGGCTTCGACTCGCGTCCGCAAATTAACAGAACGCTGACAGCCATCAATAGCAGACATATGGACAGATGGTCAGAAGTGTAAGAATTTCAGCAGGCGATACACTTGTCTGTCTGCAACTCTCTCTCTCTTTCCTTCTTTATAAATCTGCCTTTGTCTCACTCTTCAAATGTTTTCCAAACACTGTATGCGAAAATGTCATCCAAAACAATTAATGAGCAAAAACAATAAGCAGAACATACTTTGAAGAGAAAACAATCGAAAGAATCATAGTGCACATGCTAGCTCCAATCTGTCTGTATGGCTAAAAATATGTAGATGTACTTATCCTCCAAAATGCCGTGAACCTGCCACGCGTGCCTGTTATGTGAGAATTTTAATTAGACTTAGACAAACAAATAAACCCCGACACATGCACTCAATAACATACTAATCATATGAATGCCAATTAAAATATCTGAATGAGTGTTTAGTTATCGCCTCAAAGGTCCCCACACTTGATAAACCTGCAAATTTAAAGCAATCACTAACATCCACTCAGGCACTATGTGGATGTTAAAGATAACATACAAACACTAGATTTTTCCTTCTGCTAATTATTTACCAGAATTTATTTATGTAACACTTTAAAAACAACACATGGCCAACCAAAGTGTTGTGCAGCAGAAATATAAAAAGTACAATGAGAACAATAAATACAATAAATAAAGTTACCCACTGAGCGAGTTTTTAACCTGGATTTAAAGAGCACCACTGAATAGGGCTGGGCCATATTATACCGTTCACGGTAATACCGGTATAATATTAGGCAACGATAGGAAAATGAAATATCGCGATAGAATATGAGTAAAACGCGCATGCGCAGTGCCTTTGTCTTCATATGCACATGGCCGATTGTTGAGTGAAACAAATGAACCAGAATTGGTTTGTAAAAATGGTGCAACTTCCGTGATGTGGAACTAGTTTGGTGTTTGTCCATCAGATACACAACAAAGCACGTTTTTTGGCAGAACATGCAAGCGGCCGTCGTTATTGTCGTATTTGTCGGACTAAGATGCTCTTAAATCTGGGAGTAATCTGGGACCTAAACTCTGTATGCTTCAGGTCAAACAACACTGCAGCATCACTGAGAGTTAAAAACTGTCTAAATTCTTTCATCTTTAATAAAACGATCAGCATTG